TGGTCTCCCCCCCCCCCCCCCCTCTAGCTTGATCATATAAATATTCTTGTCAATCTCTACAGCCCTCTTAACATTTCTTGGTGTCGTTATATCGGAGCTACATTCGCTATTGTATTGCAGTAAAAGTTTATTAGATGTGTTCTGAGGGGACATATGGAAGTTGCCTATATATTATTAGCTTTCTAAGCTATTAAGGTCTGTTCAGTTGTTTCATTTGAAAAATAACCAAAAACAATCGCGAAAATGTTAAATGTCCCTGAGATTTTGAAGATTTCCTTAGATGTTGACAAGTGTACTGAAACATGAATGACTTTAGTACTCACAGTGGGAAAAGAAAAATAGAAATTTGGATACTTTTTTAAAAAAACTGTAACTTGTAATGCTATTTGATGCTTAAAACTCCTGTTTTCTCTGAAACTCATTCACAACAAATTCTGTTTCTCTTTCAAGGTCTATAGACTTAAATTTTCTTCCATCTGTTGATCCCGAGACTGTTCTGCAGACAGGTATACTCAGCCAACTATGGCATCATTTTTTTTAAAAAAATCATGGGTATCATGAACATAAACTGAGTCTGCCAGTTAACTAAAATTAGTCAGTTACAATAAAATAATGCATTTATGAATATTTTCCTCTCCTTTTTAAATACAGCATTTCTACATACAACTGTTCTGCTTTCCCTAGTTCCTGGGAATAGCAGCCATAGAGAAATAAAATATAGTCTCTCTTTCTACTGAAATTGTTGAATTTGTCTGTGAAAATAGCAAGAAAGCAATTAAGAATTAAAATTCCTTTAAAGATGTGCTTGCTTAAGAATTAAGCTGGATGATATTTGAAAGAGGAAGACTCATACCAATCCAGCTATTGTTTCTCCCCCAAATTCTGAAAGTGGTTTAATTGGTATTTCTGCTTGCCAGCTTTCCTCAAAACAGTTCACAGATATAGTTATACAACTTAGAGAGGGAGAGGGAAACAACCCTATCTTGGTGCATCACCAGAAGTTGCTTTCACACTGTCTCCCAGTGATTAGTTAGGTGTTACAAATTGGCTGAGAGAATTGTTTGTATCCTAGGTGAATGATCAGTTTCCAAAACAGTTGTTGGGGAATTTGCCCTCTGTTTTCTTGCTGTTTTTTTTCTTGCTTTGTTTGATTCTCCCGTGTTCTTCACTTCTGGGAGAGTTACTAAAAGGTGTAGATATGGGACGACACCAACCATAACCAGTGCTTTTCATCTATATTGGTTGAGACCGTTGATGTTCTGGGCTAGTTCTTGGACTAGGTAATGAATAAGAATAAACTGAGATTCAGTCTGTTTTCTGAGCCAGGAAGCTTAGCCTGGCTAACTGAGTGGCACTCACCCGGTTCTGGAGGCATCTGCTGTTCCCATAAAGGAACAGGGCATGATTTGGGGGCATTCTTGTTCCCACCCTTATACATAGGTAATCTCAGTGAATTGGGGTACCTTTTGTCACATTAGACTGATAGAGTGATTAGAAAAGAAATACCGTTGTGCCAGTTACTCATGCTGCTATACCATCCCAGCTGTATTATTGCATATGAAATGTGAGATTGCCTTTAACTTTTCAGCTAATCCAAAACATTACAGCTAACTGTTAAAGAAGGTGAGCTGCTGCAGTCACGTTAGGCCAACTTTTTGCTAACCCCGCTGGCTGCCAGTTAGTTTCTGGGCCCTGTGCTAAAAGAGGCTCTGGTCCTGTCTACCTGATGGAGCATCTCTTTCCATATTTATCTGTTTAGATGCTATGATTATCCCCTGCTAATTGGAGGGGATTAGATGGCTGTATCAGAGAGAGATTTTCAGGGGTGCTTTCCTGTCTATGAAATGTCACCCCCCCAAAGGCTGGTGTTTGGTGTTAATGAAGACCAAGCATTTTAAGAACTGTTTTTAGTGTTTATCTTTGCACTGTTTTATCTGTGCTACTATTTTAACATGTAGTTTTATTATCTTATTCTTTTGCTTTTATTTGACTTCTTGCATTATGGCTTTACATGCTATGTTTTTAATTTGTGCTCTAGCTTTTTGTTGTTCATTTGTTCAGTAATTTCCAACTCTTCATGAATTCATGGACATCATACTAGGGCTATCTGTCAGTAACTGCTTCCTTGAGCTTTCTTGTAAGCTCATGCTTGTGTCATCAGCAATAGTACCCTTAGATACTGTCACTAGCCTTAGAATCAGCTTTTAATTTTGTTTATACATAATTAAGCAATTGTATTTTGAGGTGCTATTTTGAATGTGGTTATCTGAATGCATACATACTGGGTAGCTAGTATCTTGGATTTCTCATTTTCTCTGTTTGCAAAAAGAGGGAGGGAGGGAGGAAGGAAGGGAGGAAGGAATACTGTACTGTTGCCCCTCAGTACATACTCCACAATCTTATAACATGCTGTGGTTTTAACCTCAGAGAAAGTTTGTATAAAAAAACTGAAAGAAGAAGCCTTTATCTTTCTAGCAAAAAGTCTCCAATCTTTCCCATTAAACTTTAGCTCATTTTTTACCTGAGTCATTAGATCATATATAAAAAATATATGTTTTCTATTAAGGTCATGAGCTCTTATCGGAATTGCAACAACGCCGTTTTAATGGTTCAGATGGAGGAGTTTCATGGTCCCCCATGGATGATGAACTGCTTGCTCAGCCTCAAGTTATGAAGTTACTAGATTCACTCAGAGAACAGTATACACGGTATCAAGAAGTATGCAGGCAAAGGAGCAAACGTACTCAGCTGGAAGAGATTCAACAGAAGGTAATGCAGGTAAGTGACATTGTTTGTATTAGTAAAATAATTAGATGGGGGGCTTACAGGATTTCTAATTAATCTGCTATATCAGCTGTTGGGAGCACCTCAAAGCTCCCTGGCTTTTCCAGGGAATTTTCCTGGATTCATGCCACTACCTTTTGTAGCTGATATGTGATACCTGGAAAAGGTATGTTTCGTTTCAGGTATTCCTGACAAGTGCTATAGACTCCATGCACTCCAGGTCACATTTGGCCTTCAAATTTGAATCACTGCATTGCATTGCCATAAGCCTTGTATATCCAGTGATTGGAATCCCAATTTGCCTTTTTAATGCAAGGCTGTTCCCCACCAGAGTAATAACAAGATAAACTTGAAACAATTTGTGCGTTGAAAGATCATGAAAGATCAGGTGATGCTCTGGAAATTGATATTAGAGAGTCAGTTTGGTGGAGTGGCTAAGGTGCTGGGGTAGAAAGAGGTGCAGAAAATAGAAGTGTTATGCATGTTCACTGCCTTGAATTGACTAAAAATTAAGGTGGGATAAAAAATCTAATAAATTTGTAATTGGTACTTTTATTCCTACTTTGTTTCAATAGTATTTATTGTCTTCATACTTAGTTTTTAGATTAGATATGTATACATGTATCAGGCTAGAAACCGGGGGACAGTAAGTTCTAGTCCTGTCTCAGGCATGTAGCCAGCTGGGTGACCTTGGGCCAGACCCTCTCTCTCAGCCCTAGGAAGTGGGCAATGGCAAACCACTTCTGAAATCATGCCAAGAAAACTGCAAGGACTTGTCCAGGCAGTCTCCAAGAGTCAACACTGACTTGAAGACACCCCCCCCAAAAAAAGTATATGTATTTTTATTGCTGTACCTAGTGGAAGAAATATTTTTGAAATGATAGTTTTGAATATTTTAGGCTGAGGTAATGGGAGTCAGAATTTTTTTCTTTCATTTTATACTAGATATACATAAATTCAAAGCTAACAATTTTTGATTTTGTCTTTTTAATCTGTAACATTTTTAATGATTCACCATATCCTTTTAAAAAGCATTCCAGTCATAGTACTACCAGAAGTATTTCCTTGAAAACAGAGGCTATTGAATATGGTCAATATAAGCAAAATATCTAACATATGTATTTTCTGTAACTTAGGTATTCAGAATATAAGAACAAAGATGAGTTGATAGGGAAAAATGCAATCCAGTTGGTGAAGTGCTTTATTAATGCACTTAAATAGATTTGTTTATAGGAGCATCAGTCTCAATTTACATCATTCTAATTACAACTTGTCATCCTTTTGCTCTGTGTTGCTGAATTACATGGGAAATTAATTATACTTAGTCTGGTAATAAAATCTTGCATTCTCTTCTCTTTTTTTAGTGACTAATTAATTTAGAAATCACCTGCTAAGGATTTTTAAACAATTTGGTGAGGGGAGGAGGAACTCATATTTTAAAGAATTGTAAGAAAAATTTAGGAATATAAATGATCAAGGAAATACATTACTAAGCCTACTGCCAATTCAATCCAGATTATTTTAGTGATGAAAAAGGAAATCAGAAGAAAGGGAAATAGAAGCAGACAGATACTAAGAGATGATTTGATGTGCTATAGGATACAGGTAGTCCTCAGCTTACAGCAGCAATTGGGACCAGAATTGCCATTGCTAAGCAACATGGTCATAAAGCATAATGTCACATGACCATGTCGCTTAGCGAAGGCAGTTCCAGCATCCTGGTTGACTTCGCTTGTGGGAAGCCAGCAGGGAATGTCGGAAATCGCAATCATGTGACCACGGGGATGTGGCAACAACTGGAACTCTGAGGAGTTCAGCACCTTTGTAACTTTGAATGGTTGCTTGAATGAATGGATATAACCCGAGGACTACCTGTAATTGCTGCTGTGGTATATTCTTTCTTCCTGTATGATTTGGCCATACAGAGTTACTGCAAATTAGATTGAAAATATACTATGCTATTTGTCTAAGTTTTTCACAGATACTTGTGACTAACAGGTTGTTTATCTTCTATTTTGTAAAAAAAAAAAAATGGTATGAATTTGTGAGTGACTGCATTTGTCCATAATTTGAAAACATAGTTATCATACTCCAACTACTGTACAGTAATCAGACTAGTAGATGGAATTTACACATTTTTGAGTTACTTTCTATTAACAAGAATTTAGTTAGCAGTTTTAAATGGACCATCTTCAAACCATGTTTTCTGAAGTTGATTTCTTGAATAGTTACCTTATTTAAATAACATAAACTGCTATTCTTGACTAAAAGTGGATGCAAAAGCTTCCAGGCCCCTTCATATGTTAATATGCATATGTCATTCGTAAGCGATTTATGTTCACCAAATACAATTTAAAGGACTGTCCTTCAAATGGATTCTTCGGGGTGACTTAGATGTATGATAACACACATCTATATTGACTTTGATGTGAGTAGTTCAGATGTTCAAGTTTCACAGGTTAGGTAGCAAGAACATTGGGTGATGCTTGATACTGTCAGATTCGTGTAACCGCCGTATAGTATCTTAGACTATAAAACTTGCGGAAGTGTTAAAAGGACCAGGTAGAGAGATAAATTAGCGTAGAAGTAGTCAGAAAGGAAATGTCTAAAAGCTTATTCTGCTTTGCTAGCTGTTCATAATCATGACATTCTTTCGCTGCTAGCTCACCAACAAATGAGTTGGACTGGAAGGATCTTTACTATTTATGTACAATGGTGCTTAAAAGTTTGTGAACCCTTTTGAATTTTCAATATTTCTGCATAAATATGACCTGAAATGTGATCTGTTCTCCACATGAGCCCTAAAACTAGATAAAGAGAACCCAATTAAACAAATGAGTCAAAAACGTTTAAGCACCGCTGTGGTGTGAGGTACATTCCTACATTTCAACCCAATTTTTGACAAATGCTGGTCTAGTGCCACTTCATTATAGTATATAACTAATCAAAGAATATATGCTGAGATTTGTTATGAAATTTACTGAGACAATATAATTTCACAAATTAGAACAATTTACCTTTCGCTAGGAACAAAAAGGCATTGCATTTTACCTGCCAATACAGGTATCAGTTGAAAACAAGAGGTGTGCCTCGTTTCCTTGTGCTGTTTCTGATACGAGATTGTGCGTTATTAAGGTTCATGAAGAAAACATGCATTTAAAAAATGGGATCAGCTTGTTCAGTCCCCTTGGTTTTGTATTTAGAGGAAATACGCCCCCCCCCGTCCTTGTTTTTCTTCTGGAAATAGTATTGCTATTTATGTATGTATGATGAACTGTATTAGAAAGGTGGCTTTAAATAATAAGTATTCTCTAAAATCTACTTGCCTTGTACTGGTTTTTAATTACTTGTGATGATAAACATACTGCTTTTTGATTTCATTAGGTAGTGAACTGGCTTGAAGGGCCGGGTTCTGAACAGCTTAGAACCCAGTGGGGAATCGGCGATTCAATTAGGGCTTCACAAGCTTTGCAGCAGAAACATGAAGAGATTGAAAGTCAACACAGTGTGAGTTTTCATTTTCCCAAGGAAGTTACTGTGTGATCATTTTTTATATGTCATTTATTGTGTGCAATATTTCTAGTGGCCTTCTTCTCTAGTAAATTTTAGACAGTGATTTATGCATTGGCAAACTTGGCACCTTTTCTTCTATAACAAGCTAGTGATCATACAGAGGATTAATTCTAATGTCATAATAGTGTGCTATAGTTTAAAAGGGGTGAATGTGCTTCTGAGACTGAAAACGCAAAATAGACCATTGCCTACCAAGGACCCTATAATCTCTTGGATTCTTGGTGTAGGCAAAACTTCATTTCCTCCTGCTGGTTTTTGGCAGAGAAAAGTTTTCCCCCTAGTGAATTATTGTGTAACAATTTGCAGTAGCCATTCATTGGTTCAAAAGCCGACCTTGCCCAAAATAAGTTGGAAGGAAGGAAGTTTCCTATTTTTTCCAGCTGACTCGGAAACAGGAAGATTCCTTCCATTCAATTCAGTTGAGCTGTTTTCTTCAATCCTTTGAATAAAAATGAAGAGCCAAATTCTTTTCACCTATTTGCTCTTTCCCCACGAGCAACTGATAGTCTTCTACAATCATCCAGTGATCACTGTGCCAAAATAACAGGAATACGGATAGGCTTTATATAACTTCAACAATTTTCTGGGTGAAGTGCTCAGCCAATAGCGAGGAAATAGTTCTCTCTGCCCATTCCTCTGTGTGCATCTGTTGCTCTGCTTGCCGCTCTCTCTGGTTCACTCTGCGTCCATCCCTCTGTTCCTGCTTCTCTGTGCTTTTGTCCCACTCTTTGTTATGTGTGCCTGTGTCTGTGTCTGGCCATCTGTCCTTCCTTGTCCCTCCTGCTCTGCATCTTTTTGTCTCTGGATGCATGGCTGTCCTTTGGGTTTGCATTTTTACTAGCGTGTAAGTTCCTGTCAAATGTTGCAGGTGCTTTGCATTATTTCAGAGCCCTGTCCTGTACTTTTAAGAGCTGGAAGAGGCTTCCAGTGCAATAACTAGAGGGTGGGCAGTAAAGAAAGGCAAGGAAATAATTTAATACATCTCGTGTAAGGAAAAAGAGAGGTACAGGGAGGGAAGAATTGTATGATCAAGGGGACAAATAGAAGGTGAGCAGCCAAATACATTTTGCTGAGTGTTAAATAAATGCAAATTAGTTGTTTTTTTAAAAAAGATTTGGGCAAGTGAAAGAACAGGATATTACAGATGGGGAAAATGAAAGAGTCCTTTATGTGAATAAGATAAAGAACAGTTTGGAAAAACACAATGAGAAAAAGGTTCTTGAAAATTGCTTCCAGCTTCTGAAATTGACTAAATAATAGAATCACTTCATTATGTTGAAAACAGAATTAAACATGGACTTGATTTTGAGTCTTGGCAGATTTGCATATCGTTGGCTTTAACGTAGCATTGTTAAACAGAAATACGCAAAAGCTTGCTCAATATTTCAGTAAGCTGAAGTTGGCTGAGTAGCTGTTGTACCTGTGCTTTAAAAACAATATGGCAAAATTATCAATAATGGTGCTATAACTTGATGGGCTGAATTTGCAGGAATGGTTTGCAGTGTACGTGGAACTTAATCAACAGATTGCAGCTTTGCTGAATGCTGGAGATGAAGAAGATCTTGTAGAACTAAAAGCATTACAACAGCAGCTGAGTGATGTTTGCTATCGGCAGGCCAGTCAGTTGGAGTTTAGGCAGAATCTGCTACAAGCAGCCCTTGAATTTCATGGTGTTGCTCAAGATGTAAGTAAAATATGCACTTTCTCATTGTTGCCTCATGATACTATAGCAGAGGTCAATAAATAAGCTGATATAGTTTGGAATAAATTAGCCCGAAAAGTTCTAATGCACTTGGAGGAAGTCTGAAAATAAATGAGAACAAACAAGTGTTAGAGCTCATTTGGAAGTCTGTTCTTAGATAATGGAGGCAGTTAAAGTGTTCATTTCTCTGTCTATATTATGTCCACATCGACTAAACTGGAGTTCCTTTTCCATATACGTTACAACTCTTTCACTAAGATGCTAGAGCTGGAGCAGATGAGCAAATTACATAATTCTCTGCTAATAATGTCAGTTGGATTTCTCTTGACATGAACTTTGATGCTGAGGCAACCAGTGACATAAACTCGGGAACTATTTGTTCTTTGGTTTTGGATTCTTTTCAGCATATGGTTCTTGAAAAAATTGCAGAGTATGTGGAGAAATGAGACTTACCACCTGCTTTGGGAAAATTGATTTGGGAGGGCTCTAATCCTTCTTGGCAGGCAGTATTTAAGAGGTCATTCTGGAGGATTCTTTTTGACAGTTTAGTAACTGGTGTATGGTGACTCACCATCCTGCTCTGTATGCAAATGAAATCATTTGAAATCGTTGAGAAAAAGCCATAAGGGGCGTTGAAGTGCCATAAAATGGTGTTGTCATTTTAACCTGAGTGAAATATTTTATCTCTTGGAATATTACCTAGATTCTTCCTGGGCAACTTGGGTTGAATGAAGCAGCAGCAGCAGCTGAAATTAAATCCACAAAAATGGGGGCACTAGACTCAAGGATTGGGGTATTTGGGGTGGGGTTATTTTCCTCTTGAAAGAGTGGTCTGTAGCCTGAGAGCATTCCGTGACATTTGGCTGTCAGCCTAAATTTCCAGGCTGGATTTGGCAATAGTTCTCCATGCTTCCTTTTAGTAAGAGTATAATTGAGCCTTATGGGATCCTGAGGCATGCTAAGAGAGGAAACAGGAAAAAATGGCTGGAAACCAGAACTTTCCTTTGCAGCTGCTTGCACACACACTGTTGCTAAGTTTTGTTGTTCAGACCATCTTCTTTGAATCAGCCCTGCATCCTAGCTCTATCTCCTCTATAATTGATCTAGTCACAGTTCCGTCTGCCATTCATACAGCAAACCTCTTTATCTGTTGAGGAAGACTTGAAATCATAAAAATAACCTGCTGACTTTGGGGTTGACTCTTTTCAGTTGTCTCAGCAGCTAGATGGATTACTTGGGATGCTGTGTGTTGATGTAGCACCAGCCGATGGAGCATCAATTCAGCAAACTTTAAAACTGCTTGAAGAGAAATTAAAAAGTGTTGGTAAGGAAAAACAAAGAAGATTGAATTGCCAAACCATGCTATTATAGTGAATGTGTTCATTTGAAGAATAAATATTGGATTAAATTATATACTTTTTTCACATAACCCTAATTAGCAAATTGGATGGAAAGCTGGAACAGGCTATGGGTGCAAGTTTTCTTCACTTGGCTGGCTTGTAAAGGGATTTTTAAAAGTACATCATTGTGGAATTATGTAATATGCATTGACCAGCATATTCTTTCTTGTTCCCTTTCTCTGAAAATGAAATTTTCAATATGTGTCTTTGTGCATAGAGTTCAGTAGGAGCTAGAAATCTGTGCATTTGAGGTTCCAGCTCCCATGGAAATCTAAACATGTAGGCTTCTCCCTCCTAGAGATTCCAAAGTCTATGCATGACTGACAAGGGCAAGGGCAGTTCATTAGCCTAACCACCCAGTTTAATTGCAGGATCCTCTGTTGCACAATTAACAGATCAAGTTATCTTATCACTCACAGAGTCATATGAAATGTGTTTGAGCTACTGACCTCCTAACAGAGCAGTGGTGTCTGAATGAGCCTCTAAATTTAAAAGAAAAATATGAAGACAAAAAATGTTTCATTTAACAGTTCATAAATATGTGGGGGGAGGGAGCCATAATAAAAATATAAAAAACTGCATTAGAGGGTATGAAGAACATTGGTTATTTTTGCCCACTACTTTTTTCTTTGACTGGTAGCATCTCTCCCAAGTCTTGGGCAGCAATCTCAACTAACTTAGCTGTTTCTTTTTATTTGATTGTACCAAAAATTGAACCTGGACCTTCAGCTTGTAAGGCATGAGCTGTGCCACTGGGCTACAGTCCTCCCTATAGTAAACACTATTAAGCCTGATATAAATTGATAGGGGTTCTAAAAAAAAACTGTGTGTCTATATTGCTGAAATATTAACTACCTTTCTTACTGGTTGACACAATTAGAGTTGACTGTCAATATTTGAAGGATGTGCTTACAAAATGTACACATTTTGGAGTTCAGTAGGTTAAGCAGTAACATGTGACAATTAGATAGCTGCATCTAACTTGCACATGGATGAAAAGAGAATTGGGTACTCATGATTTAAGACAATAGTACATCTTATTTAATTAGGTATTAAATTTATACACTGCCCATCTCACTCTGTAAGTGACTCTAGGCAGGTTACAAGTAAAAATTACATTGTATATGAAGTAAGATTTTGTTTATTATCCCTGTAGACCTGGGCCTCCAAGGTTTGCGTGAAAAAGGTCAAGGTCTTCTTGATCAGATATCTAACCAGGCTTCATGGGCTTATGGAAAAGATGTAACGAGTGAAAACAAAGAGAATGTTGATCACATCCAGGGAGTAATGGAAGACATGCAGCTCAGGAAGCAAAGGTATTCATGGTGATGTTGGACTCCTGGGAATCTCTCTTTCCTAAGGAGTTCATTTAAAACCACTTCTAGCTTCTTTTTTAAACACTGCCATATTCTTTAAACACATGAAAATATGAAAAATAATCAGAACACAAACCTAACTGTAACATAGGTGTATACCCTGTGTATTTTTTTGCCCTGAAATGTATGGTTCCAAAAATTTATAAATCGTACAATTTTTTGTTTAAACTTGACATTAAACAAAATCAGTTAATTATAGAAGCAGTGCTTCTATAAATTATTTATTTCCAATGTTTTCCTATACCATTTCATAAATGTAGGTATTTCTGTTACTTTCAGTGTTGTGCAACACTTACTTTAAGTTATCTTAATAACATGAATGCAAGTTATAATTTATAGGTTCTGTAGTTTCTTTAAGTATTGCACAAGAACTGCTTTTAAGTTTAATTGGTAACTAATAGCCTAGGTGTCATTTAAAAATATTTAATGTTTCATTACATATTGTTCCATTTTCCAAATTTTGATGAGGAATTCCATATAAATTTAAATTTGCTACAACTCACTTGAATTTTCCTGATAAACTTAGCAGCTACTGCAATATTTTTTTAAAGAAAATATTTCCTGATATGCCACATTTTTAAGGGATGGTACAACATTATTGCATATGGCATTGCACTTAAAAATAATAAGGTAATTTTGAGCTAAAAGGGCACTTCATATACACAGACACACATACAGTTTTGAAAACTATCTGTAAACAGATAACAAAAAGAAAAGACAGGGAAATCATTAGGGTTTTTATGTCAAATTGTCATTTTGTAGGGTTTTTTTTAAATCTCCCATTTATATGGGTTGCTACTTTTTTGGCAACAAAGACATAATTTGCTACTATTCATTGGGAGATTGCTGCTTTGGCTACTCTTTAAGAAGGGCCTGCAAAGGTGGCTTTTACTATGACCTCTTTTCTGCCCAAGATTTGAGGTATACTTATTTGGGGGGAATGTAGTCCCTTCACAAAATGCTGCTTTTCCTAGTGCACTGGGCTCATCTTCCAATGGGCTATGCTCCCCAGTTGTTTTCGTTCCATTTCTTACCTGCCCTAGGCTATGCTTGGGTGTGATATGAGGTACCAAGTTTGAGGAAGGCTGGTGTAGGTGAAATAAGCAAGCAAGCAGAAGAGGTTATGGGCAACCGTCCTATAACACCAGAGAGAAAGAGAGGGAGGGAGGGAGGGAGGGAGGGAGGAAGGAAGGAAGGAAGGAAGGAAGGGAGGAAGGAAGGAAGGAAGGAAGGAAGGAA